AAAAATCGTAAGTTGAACAACAATAAGGTAAGAAGCATCAATATTTCAAAAGTCCCTGTTTGTTATGGCTTGCGTCTAGTTGCCCCCTTAAGACCTCACGCAGTCCTGGGGAAGATTCTGGGGCCTGTAATCGATTCTTGATCCAATGCTGGGTTATGGATGTGAGTGCCCTAGAGCAGATACTGTGCATTACAACATGAGGAGGGGAGAGAGGCTAGCTGGCTGCCTGAGCAGCTGCCACTCCCTTTGCTCTCTGCTCCCAGCCACTACTGTGAACTGTTGCCCTGAGCCCTGTGCCACTCCACCCTGGAGCCAGCTGAGTATGGACTGAAGCCTCCACTAACTGTGAGCTAAATAAACCTCTCCTTTCTACATTTTGGGTGTTGGGTATTTGTCCCAGCAATGACAGAAGGGTAATTAAGACACTGTTAACAAGAATATCTTCGAAATTAAGAGTGGCATGTATGGGGGTGAGGTGGGGGTGAAGAGAGACTTGGTATTATTGTCTTGCCATCAATCTGGCAAGGTTTTTCATACAGTATAATTCTGTAGAGTATCCATAATCCAGAGAGTAGAAGTGGAGGAAGGGCTCCAGGGAGCCAAGGCTTTGGGGATTCTCTCCATTGGGGTGTGTCTAGCCAGGGTGCAAGGTCATGAGTGCCTCTGAAGCACGGCCTGCCAATCTGCAGACTTTGACAGAAGTCCTCAAGTTATGGCCTCAGAAAGAGTGGCAGCTGATGGGCACACTTTGAAGTGTCAGCTCTTTGCTTAACTACTAGAGTATAAGCCACTCAAGGACAAGGACCAGGTCTGTCTTACACACCAATGTAAGTCTGTGGCCTGGCATTCAATGAAAACTCAGGTAGTGAGTGCTGCTTTCACGCCACTCCTGTTCTAAGGGCATTGCCTCAGGGTGTGATAGGTGTTATCCTTATATCCATTTCACAGGAGAGGAAACTGAGTCTCAAAGAGGGTGAAGTGCCCTGATCTTGTAAGCCAGAAGGGAGAGAACATCTACCCCAGAGCTTACCTCTGAGGCACTCTGCGCTAGTGACCACTACACAGCACGTGCTCAGTAATGAGTAAGTGACTCACTTGAAATGAAGAAAAATATGGCATTCTGCAGCGGGTGAGTGCTTTGAGAGTACTTCATGAATGAATGGATGAATGGGTGTCCTTTTTTCAAAAGACCATGTTGGACTCAGGACTCATGTAATTATACATTCATGGAACTACAGAAAGTATCACATTTTCATTATGGATTTGAGGCAAACTACATCCTTAAATTGCAGGATTTCTGCCCGTGCTTATTGTGTCTGTAACCAGCAGTTTGTATAGCTGCATGCATCTCTGCTTGACTAACCACTCCCATGAGAGTACGGCAAGGTTCAGTTACGGTTTCTCAGGGAGCCAGTTATTACTATAAAAGCACACTTTCCTTGGAAACTAGATATTATTTGTAGATAAATATCTAATGCATTCAATTATAATCTACTGATATAGTTGATTTTATTATATGGAGTGAAGAGACTACCAAAAGCAATCGATTAGTGTTCAATTTAAAATGTTACTTTTATTTGTAAGCAATAT